TTGGGCCACCTAATCATGCACAAACCCATTTGCACCAAGCATTCCATGGACCCCATCCCCATCATTGGTTGCCCAGCAAGTTTCCCTCTCACATGGTGCCCATGTGTTCTTGGAGGACAATCAAACCCAATCGAAGCACCATCCATATTGTGCTGCTGTCTAGAGCATTTGCTCAATGGCTTGTATGGCAAAACAATTTGCTCAAAGTCAGGGTCCCAATCTCTCGTGCCCAGGTGTTGCATCCACGCAACCGCCTTTGGTCTCAAATGGAATTGCACGCATGCAGCTACAAGCCCAATGCCAGCTGTTTGATGCACCCAATGCTTCATCTCATCTCATTTCATCTCATCTCATCTCATCTCATTTCATCCACATTGGAAGTTCCATTTTCCTATGCTCTCTATACTATATGCCCATCTCTCTCTTTCATTGGATATCTTAAGCCATCAAATCAAGACAATCTTCCACACTCCATCATTGAGACCATACAGTATAGGTATCCACCCTCACCACGTAGAGCCTACAGTATATACAAGTGCTTGCAGGAGCAGACAGTTGTGTCTTCAAACAGACGAGGGGAATATAAGAAGTTGTGGTGGAATTGCTACTCCTACACAGGCAGCTATAATGAAATCAATAATCTTGACTATCTCTAGCACCTGGGCCACTTCCAGCTCGTGGAATTGACAATGAGTCCTCGATCTCCAGCAAGTGGGGCCTGGGCCTGGGCTTCTCCGGGGGGGGGGGGGGGCCAAAAAAAAAATGCTCCTGGAATTGGACAACCATGGTTTTTTTTTTTTGGCGCCCCCCACCCCCCTAGAGAAGCCTAGGCCCAGGCCCCAGTTGCTGGAGATTGAGGACTGATTGAGATTGGAGGTCTTGGAGACCAGATCTCCCTCATAGAGGTGATGTCCTGATGTTGTATGATGGGATGTGGTGGACTTGCTGATAGATGATGCTTGATGGACTTCTGTGTGGGAATCAATGAGAACTAGTATGTTTGAATCAGATTGATGAGAAATTTGATAGATTACAAGTCGACATTTTTGCTAGACACGTTCTTCAAAACAACTAACATTTTCAAAAAAAAACACAGAAACCACAAATCACAAAAACGCGTAAAAACCACACCCGCATAACGTCGTTTTCTGAAAAAAAAAAGGGTTCACTTCGATCAGGCTGGAGATGAGACCCAAAGAAAAGGGGCTTCTTTGGTCTTTCATCACCTGGGCCTAGAATCGACCTTGAACAAGAAGGAAAGCACATGGGGGCCGGTTGGTCATGCTACATTAGCTGCTACATGTCACGACTTCAAGTGGAAAGTGATTAGACAATACAGCAGTTGAAAGAGTGGCACCTTCACCCAGCCACTGGAAGCAGCAAATCCAAGTGTAAAGTGAAGTATCTGTATCTTGCCATAGGGATCCAGTAGAGAACATTTCTGTAATTGGAACAAGCTAACCAGCACAATCTCAGAGAAGTCTCAAGCACTTTGCATACACATACACCGTGGATTTGTGGAACGACTCAACCTCTAACCTCTAAACATACCTCAAAACATATCTCAACCTCTTCGTATGTGGGCATTATACGGCCTCTCTCTGGGAAGTCTTCACTCTCACCGTAGACCCTCTCTGCGCTGAGCGTCCTCATCTCCAGCCTTCAACATCCGCGACAAGATCTGTGCCGCGGCCACCGACTGCGGCTGGCCATCCACGCAGGTCACCGCCTACGAAATGTCGACCAAACCAAAGCGGGAGTTGGACGGAGTCGACTGGGGACTTTTTTGGCGACTCACTCACTTGGTGAGTGTTTTTTTGTTTTTCAGATAAGTTCAAAGAAGAACACGAGAAACTCATAGAAACTCATAGAACTCACGAGAGTCTCTTCTTGGTCAGTCGGGCAGGGGATGTCTGCATTAATCCAAGTGTCGAGGTGTGTATGAAGAAACTCAGAGAGAAAAGGATCAACTACGGACTAGGTATATTATAGAATCATCCTACCTTGTGTATGATGTAAAACGGGCAGCTGGCTGCTGGCTGCGAAAACAGTGCATGGTCACATGGTCAAAAGGTGCTGCTCAGCTGCTTCACCACATCGCAAATCACAGTTCGTCACATCACAAACACGAACAAGGAAACCGGTTGCACTGCATAATGCTGAAAGCCGCGTTTCTTCAAAAGTCCCTCGCACAGCTTAAAGAAACAACTTCTGGACGCTTCCCTTTAAAGGCAACGGTGCTAGTGATGCTGCGATGCTCCTTTAACCCTTTGCATTTCTAGATTTTCCTGGATGGACACAATTGAAGCATGAACCGGGAGTTGGCTGGTTCAGAGCTTGTTCATCACAAACAACAATGATGCTGGTGATGCTGCTTTAGTCATCCTCCATTTCTCTTTTAATTTTTGTTGATCAGTCAAAGTATTTAGACATGATAGAAGATGAGAAATGTGGCCCGCTGCTCATTTCAATGGGAGATGTCGTGAGAAGATTCTGAACATCCCCACCATGAACCCGTGCAAGGCAAATAACATGCCCCAAAATCCAATCTGCCTCAGTCTCCTGCGTGCGCGGGACCACTCCTGCTTAGCAGTCGCCTTACTCTATAGGTCGTCCCACATCCCCGCGAGTGATCACGGACGATCCAGATTTCTTTGATTTGCGCCCCCAAAAACCCCTCACCAACGCCATCCGGGCCCGAAATGGCCACCGCACACGCTGCACAACCCAATCGAACCAAAAGGTTCGTGTCAGGAGCGACGGAACGGTTCTGTCGGTGGTTGGAAGAAGCCCTGAACATCCCTGAACCATCTGAAGCCATGTCCTGACACCGGACGTCCTCAAGTGGTGACCGGTGACCACCGGACGTGCGGACCATCTCACCCGCCTTCACCGCCGCCCGGGTGGAGAAGCCGCGGGAGGTTCGAAGCAGCGCAGCGCCCAAGCGGCGCATGGGGACGACGGCCTCCAGGCTTTTCGTGGTGACTTCAGGTGCAAAAAGGATCAAAAAGGACACATAGTTGTCTATTTTGTTTGATGACAATTGCTCCCAAGTGTGCTCTTAAGGTGTTGAGGGAGTTTGAGGGTGGGATTTGGGTGCTTTGGGAGTAAGTCTCAACTGACAATTCCAAACAGGAACTTGAATGTCCCACCCCAAAATAGAATGCGTGCATCAGGCGAGGTCTTTCACCCATTACGAGTATGACAGTGTTTCCTGATGTTTGCCATCATGGAGTCAGTGTTGATCACTTCACACCTTTCTTAATTGATACCCCAAACGACTAAGCTGTGAAGCACTACAACGTCGCTACAAAATGCTACAAGTTGAGTTGAAGGGCTTTGAACCCAGCTACCAGCTACCCAGCCACAATCGTGGTGTATGGAGGTATTGCATTTGGATCAGGATCACTCCCGCCGCGTCACCGACCATGGCCTGCCGGATGCCTAAAAAGTGCGAATGAGGCTGGCAGCCACTGGGGCGGAGAGTTGGATGAATACGTCTTCCTGCCTTGCTAAATTCTGCTGAAGAAACTCTCTCTCTCTCTATATATATATTATATACAGGTTTTCTTCAGCAAGCTCGACACCTGACACAAGACACATCAGCACCTGACGTACACCGTACAACTATAATTATTATAACTATATAGCCATCTATATGGCACAATATTGTGGACATTTCGGCTGGATGAGATGTTCATTGCGTACATAAATCCTCGGACCTTCTTCCAATCTGAGCCAAATCACCGCGACCTTCACACTGAAGAAAAACCTACCACACTACCTACCACCACTTGCAGGTGGTCTGTCTGGTCCCTTCCACGAGTTTCATGAATTTCTCCCTTCATTCGAAGCCATGGCCTCCATGGTTGCAACATGTTGCAACATTACACAACAGGAAGACACATGTGTCCATGTTCTGTCCAAAAGATGTGAATAAACTGTTTAGTATTGTTTAGTAACCTGGAAGCCAAAGACTTCCTACCTTGCTTGAACACAAAATATGTCAATCAAGATCGTTTCAATCCCTGTCCAAGGTCCAAGCTGCTTCGGGCGACTCTGGCGAAGCTTTCCAAGAATCTTACAAACCAGATTCTCAGGTCGACTTACCAACGGCCGATTCCCCCGATTCGACTCTGAGGTGCGCTCGATGTGAGCAGAAGCATCTGCGAGCTCCTGTCAGCGAAGTTGGCACCAAGAGGCCGGGAGAATCATCTCAAATCCAATCCGAAACGAACGGTGGCAGTGGCTCACCCTCGTCCGGTCGGTCCGCGGCGTCCGTCCGGTCGGTCCGATCCGACCAGACCGAACCGGAGGGCCAGGAAGAAATCAGGTGGCCATGCCCACAAACGGTGGCAAAAGGTCCCAGGGAACCAGGGAACCTGCAGGAATCCGCTCCACATTTCAGGGAACTAGATGTTCGGCATACAGCAAAGTGGAGTTTGTACTGTACTGTTTCTCACCAGCAAGTTACGGCAGTGGAGACTTGGAGAGATGCACAGTTCAAAGACAATAGAGATAAACATCATGCAAAAAACATAACCTGCAAGCACTGGACATCCCACAGAACATACAAACTCTCTGATGAGAAGAAACTGCCTCTTCAACCTGCTTTGGAGTGCTAGTAAGATTGAGCACAGTAAGTATGTAGTCTGGATGTACCTGCTTTGGTATCCCTTGTCCCACCTAAAGATTCAAAAAAAAGAGGCAAATGAATAGTCTCTGAGTGTTTTGTTCACATGACGGTTGGAAAAGTCCGTTGGGTGTGGGTTGTCTGCAGCCAAGGACCATAATTCATGGCCCGGGTGGAACTTCTGCGCTTTAACCACAGCGTCATTCCGTCCATTCCTTTGTTATCTTCTGTACACTTGGTTCATCTTCATTCTTTGTGTCAATGTCCATTTTCTAGATATTCCCTGTAGTGACAAAGCTAAATCATTTTTTCACCCGCTCACAGCCCCACCGTGTCTGGTGTCCAACCTGTCCCCACTGTCGTGGCCTCAAGGGCTTTCACTCATCAGCTGGGCCTGAGGGAGGATGGGTGGAAGTCATTGGAAGTCCATAACCCCGGGGAACTCTTCACAAAGAATCTGAACATCCTCTTCTCCATCCGAATCACCAAATTGTGAACTGATGGCCCCCATTCACGAGTCGCTTCTGCATCTTCACTAGTCGCTTCTTTGCTTCTGCAGCTGAACACTGGCTGTGCCCCCAAACAGCCGGCTGTGCTGCCCCCCGTCCTCCCCACACTTCACCGATCTGATGCCCAGCTCCAGACCATTGTCTTCCTTCGACCAATAGACATTCAGTATGTCAGCGTTCCCCGTTCCCCACTCCGCCATGCCTTGGTACCTTGGTGACTTTGTAGATAGCAATGGCCTCCAACCTACTAGCGATGGCCTCCACCATGGTACTTGGTGATGTTCCGAGGGTCCTTGTGGCATATCTGAAACTCCTTGCGTCGTACAGGACTGCAGTGGTAGGGGCACCACGCATCTGTCCCATCAAAAGTACCACACACGGACCAGTCATTTTTCTTTGCATTGAACCTGCCCCGGCACGACCCTCAAGGCCACTCCCCGACCTTCCCCAACAAGTGCTTCTCGGGGCAGTCAATGGCCTGGTGATACTGTCAGCTGGACGGCTGGAGAGCAGTGGTGACCCGAAAATAGAACTGGAACACTAACCATCAACCACACATGTTCGGTGTGTATTGGAATCTTCTCCACCAAATTTTGGCCATCAATATATATATATATATATACCTGAACCCTCCGTCGTAGCAGAAAAAAGTGACAGAAAAAATGTACATCATCAAAAAAAGCGTTCATGCCTTGAAAAAGCGTACCTCTGGAAAGTCAGATGTAGCTTCATTCCACCTTATGTGGTCTTCAAGTCCATTCCCCTGCCACATGCTGGCACCCATCCCATGCACACACAACACACGCTCACACACTACGAAGCGGCAGCCAGCAACCCCTGTCTTTGATCTTCAGATTTAAAGGTAAACAAACCATCCGCCACTTGTTAAAATTGCGCCCGGGGTGCGGGAATTTGCGCCCAAGTTGCGGGCACCCTTTTTGGACAAATTGTTGTAAGGCACGCCCAGAAGGTTAGAACCAAACCTTTGTGGTTTCATTTGCACATACTAGGAGAGGTCATATAGGATTTCCACCCGGTCCATAGGGCCCCCAAAAACCCGCAAGGGTTGATAAGGACACTGGTCAGGAACCAGTAGGCTTTAGAATTTACAACACCAAAAAGCGCTCATATGCCCTGAAAAGTGTACATACAGTACCCTCAATTAACGCTCAAACTTCCAACAAGTGCTCCAAACCATGGTTCGCCAGAAATAAGTCTTACAAAGGATGCTTCAGGTATATATAATAGATTTCAAAATTATGTCTACTGCACCTTCTGCCAGGTGGTCAGGTATCTTTGGATTTCGAGATTTTTCAGAAATTCTGAGGCTTCCATCATTCGATTTTAACAGGAACAGTTGAGATTGTTTAAAACATTCACCTCCTGGATTCCTGGATCAGATCGTAGCAAAAATAGAAAACCAAAATGAATGGTAAGGAACCTTCCCATTCGTGCATAGTCTATAGTGCTTGGGCCAACACACAGTAACTATATTTACAGTACTGAACACCCTGACGTATTTGACCTACGAGTGTTCATGAACCTCCGTTTGGACATACGGTCACACTGGGCAACAACCACTCACACCCCCTTTTCTGACGCGGCGAGGTCCAGCGGTTGAACGGGTCGCCGGGTGGTGAGGCGATTGGAGGCGATTCAAAGGAATTGTGTTGCAACCTACTAGCTTCTTGCTCCTAGTAGTCATGGCCTCCAACCTACTAGCGATGGCCTCCACCCGTTGTAGCTTCTTGCTCCTGATTCGTTCTGCTTGTCTTTGTTCATCTGAATCTTTGCGCATGAACCATGTTGAAACATGTTGAAACCGTGCCCCGTGAACATGAGATCTGGTAACCATTGTAATCCCCACCAGTGGCTCTGGAGTATGGTGAGGAAAAGATGAGGCGGGGATTCACGATCTTCATTCCGAAGCTTAAATCCCAATTAAATTTGAACGCAAGGTGGGACACATCCTGACTAGCAAACTCAAAGTCGTTTCTTGCACATGCCAGAAGCTTCACGCAGCTCCAATCGCCCCAAAATGATCTGTTGACATCGTGCGCAGGAGGAAAGCCCGAGCTGCTTTGGGCAGCTTCCGCTGCAAGAGGAACATTCGGACGGTCAAGTGCTTGGATGCTTCTCAAAAACCCTTGATCGATCGCCTCAGGATGATCGACATGGAACATAGAACAACATAGAACAACATAAGTTGGCCACCCTGGAAGTCCGTTCAAACAGTTTTAACATGATTGATCTGGTGCTTCTCGTGTAAAATCAAACAACGGTTGTTCGGTAAAGTGTTTCAAGTCCACGTACAAAATGGTGCTCCGACTTCGAACGGGTAGACAGGCCCTATAGACGAAGAATTTGCTTGTCGGCTGAACATCCATCAAGACGTCGAGATCACTTCCATCGGTCGAAGCCGAAGCAATGGGATATGATGGCCCCTATACGGAGCACCTCTGAGTTCCAGTTCTTTTCTCCTGCCTGAACTCCAACGCGGCTATGGATACTATACAAGCAAAGCAGTTCAGATTTCTGGCCACTCAGAGCCTCTTTAGTAAGCAGGTTCATTGACAAACTGGTTGATCATCTGATGGATTGCACCCAATGCACGGCAATGGAGGCATGATCTTCATTCACATTCACATAAGTTGCTGACATGACCTTCCTGTCTTATCTAAACCTAGGTTGGGAGGCTTTCCAAGTTCATCTAGCATGACTATGACTGACTGAAGAATCCTCCTTCAAAACTTGGTCTATGATAGGACCAAACACCCTGTGTTTTTGTCAGTTGTGAGTTCTGTGGCGAAATCTAATCATGTCGGGTAGTACACGTGCACCGTCGGAAAAAACCAAACATGGTCCAAGATGGAGTGGTCTCCTTTGGGGCAAAGTTCGTCCGACCAACTTCGAGTAAGACCAGGAACCTGCGACCGCTAGAGCTGTGATAGCTTCTGTGGCACGCCCCAAAGGTCTCTTCAAGAGCCGGGGCGGCCCAGTAGCCAAGCTCGCCATGTGAGTGCACCACATTGGAAGCTACATCACCTAGCTGTCCCCGTCCTTGATAGGATTCATGTTGAAAGGTGATGAAGAAGGATCATCGCACATATCTTCCTTGATTGATTTCAAATGTCTCTCACATGGCTTCCGTCCGAGTGCCTCAGCGACTACCCAAGGACCGGCAAAGCTGAAGGACCTCTTCCTGGGATGAATGGACGGCGGAGTGAATGGTTTGGGGTGCATTTAGGGATCTCCAAACCATGGAGGTCCGCACACTTGGTCTCCTTTAAATCAGCACGATCAACGTCTTTTGACATGCAGCCCGCGATACTTTTCCTTGTGTAACTTGTGTACTTCACATGATATTGTGAACATCTTTACAGGTGTTTCTGGCAAAACCATGGCCATACCACGCCAGTTGGCTTCTCTATGTGGATGTACCGGAGCTGCAAACACGATGACATCGACCTCCAAGGAATACAAGATGTCCAAACACAGTCATGCTTAGTCTTGGGAGTCATTGGGAGTGTTGGAGCTTGGGCACAGGATGTCCACTAGCATGTCCTTCAACGCTAACAAGGGGATATATAGTCGTATGTCAGGTTCCTTGCCAGGCTCACATGCTGACGTCGCGAGTTTTCGCGTCGAACCGTCCCCGAAAAAGGCGTAGAGAAGGGGGAGATAACGAAGCCCGAAGCGACCATGCGATTGCAGGCCACAAGAAGCTACGCACGGTGGAGGCCATCGCTATTAGAGTGGAGGACATTCCCATTAGGTTCCTTTTGGCTACGAACGTAACAAGAAGCTACTAGTAAGATGCTCTTCGTTCCTTGGTTCACGACAAGGATCTTCCAAGTCCTTGCCCGCAACGGGAGAACACGCCACGTGGCTGCCCGGGAGAACACGCGGAGCGGAAGCAGTGGAAACTGCCCAAGGCCGAGGACTCTCCTGCAAGCTGTTCACTGCAAGCAAATTCTGGGCATTTTGTGCAGCAAAAGCATCCTCAGAGTCAGAAGTCTCGTCAGACTGATCAAGGACATCCTTTTAGGAATGTGCGTGAGCTCCTTTTTTGCGTCATCATCTTGTTTTGTTGGCGTTAAGAACGAAGGAACACATCATGAAGGGGTGGATGGACATGGCAAATTGCCTGCTTCCATGAGCAACCTGTGAGACTGTGACTCTTGCATCACAAAGCAGTGTTGAGAGACGCTCGTCATCAGCGTAACAACTCTATAACGACGATGCGGGACTCTGAACTCTATAAACGGACTCCAAAATAGATGTGGTTGAAGTTCGGATTCCTACCTCTAAAATATACAGTAATACTCGCAGAAAATATCTCTGACCTGCAGGTTTAGTGCATCTTGTTCGTCGGCCACCCATTCCCCTTCCGCCTCGAACCACCCCTTCTGCCTCAGACCACCGGTTCCGCTGCAAACACTCGCCCTCGCCCGGTGGGACCACCTCACTGGCGGAGGCACCACTCCAGGCATGGCTGGGGCTGCTGGGCAGCGACAGGTGGAGCTCCTGTGCTGCCTCGATTTCGTCCAATTCGTCGGGAGCGCTGGCCACTCCATCCAGCGTCAGGGCGGGGGATGGCAACCAACGACCCGGGCCTGGTGCGTCGTGGCCAAAGCAGCAAACGGACACGTGTTTTGGCAGGTGATGAAGAGCCTGGCTTGATGCATAGATTGCTTGCAATGTCCTTGAAAAAGCCTTGCTTAGATGAACCCAAAGCACTAAAGAAATAAGAGCACGTGCCGGCCACTCGGGCCTGCTTGAGGAAATTCCCGCAAGACTGGGCTGCTGTTCTGCACCAGCTCCTGTGCAAGAACCAAGCAACCTCGTCGATTAATTTCATTGGGCTCGCCAATCCGACCTCCTCAAACAGCTGTGGCTTGACATATCATTTGGAGGTAAGCCGATCAAAGTGTTCCGATCTGGTTGCTGTTCTCAACACCTTCACGCCAATCCCCCTGTTTCTTTCACCCAAAACCCCAATCAGCTCCTCCAGCTGCGCCAGCAGCTGCTGCCGCTTCTGCTGTGCGTGCTCGGCACTCCGCTGGGCCTGGCGCAGTTCCTGCAGAAACTGGTCAGGCCTTGTTCAAGTTGTAGGTCTTGCTGAGGGTATTTCACTCAAAACCAATCCACAAACCTCCAAAGAAATGTAGAATTCAAATGAATTTAAGAGTCTGCAAAAGGAATTGACTCTAATTGATAATACTCCTACATTTCGCTCTAAATCGCGGAGTCTTCCTTAGTCTTCCTACAGCCCTATGATTCGACCGTTTTCACAACAACCCGCATAGATTTACGACTTGTTCAACCCGGTGAGGCTTAAAACTATAAACACTGACAAACAAATACAAACAATATCAAACAATACATCTTGGATCATATTGGGATCCCGCTAGTCGTCTATAACGTCTATAGTTGTTCACCAATCAAATGGCGTGTCCCTCCATATCCGTCCCCAAT